ACACGACTGGTACACACGGTCTATAATAATAGTATCACCCATCAGGGTAGATACATGAACATGTAAGAGACTCACGGGGCGTACCAAAATAATGAGCAATGTATGATGACACATAAGAAAAGGTGAAACCGGGATCAAATAATATAGAGGCATCTCTGTGGCAGACTGAAACAATACCTGTAATAATAGCATCGGAAGCAATAGCATCAGGTCTAGCTAGAAGTGCATAGAAACGGGCCTGACCGCTACCTGATCGACCTCCCCCTCTAAGGGAACCCCTAGCTGACTGACCTTCACCCCTCGCTGGCTGTGTGGGTAGTGGTGAAGTAACTGGTGCTGAAGCCGATGGCTGACTCCTCTAGTGAGATGGACTTGCAAGGCGACGAGGACATTGCCTCCACATATGACCCATCTCTCCAAACTCATAGCAACTCTCGAGTGCTGGAGATGGGGACTGAAGGGAACCCCTAGCACCGGAATGACTAGCTGATGCACCTGGCATAGAAGAACCCTAAACTGATGGAGCACGGGATGAACTCTGAGTTGTAAGGGCACTAAGTGACGACTGGCCCTGATGAGAACCGTGAGAACCATGACCCGATGACACCCCACGATAACCTGGGCGAGCTGGTTGAGCATGCCTGAAGGGACGGCCTCTGCCATGCTGAAACTGACTTCTCGAAGGAGTACCACTATAACTACCAGATCCTCGAGGCCTCTTGGCCTCCCTCTCCTCTTGCTCCTGGCGACGAACTGACTCAATCTCACGAGCAATGTCTACAACCTCCTCAAAGGTAGCACCAGTCACCCTCTCTCTGGTCATAAGAATACGAAGCTGGTAAGTGAGGTCATCAACAAACCTCTAATCCTCTCTCTATCTGTGGGAACCAACCAAATCGCATGGCGAGCTAACTCAAAGAACCTTATCTCATACTACGTCACAATCATCTCTCCCTGACATAACCACTCAAACTGCCTGCGCAGCTCCTCTCTGCGAGACTGCGGCACATACTTCTCCAGAAAGAGAAGTATGAACTGCTGCCAAGTAGGAACTGTTGCCAAGCGGTGGGAGTCTGAGTGCCTCCCCCGGCCTGAGAAGTAGTTGCGTCTGTAGTAACTTAGACCGCCTAAGTTAGGCCAGTGCATACTGACAGAATCTAAGCCAAGGCCTCCTGAAGACCCGGAATCACAATGGGCACAGCTGGTGCCTGAGCTGGTGCTGCTGGAGCATCCACAATAGGGACCTGATCCTGAACTGGGGCGGCTGGTGGATCTGCAGGTGTTGCCCTAGCTGCTGTGCGGGCCACACCTCTGCCCCTACCACGATCGCGACCGCGACCGCATCCTCGGCCTCTAATGGCCACAGCTGGTGGCACTGGTGGTCGTCTATCCTGACCGGTAGCGCGTGTCCTCACCATCATTGAGAGAATAGAATAACAGAAGTTTAGTACTGAGATCAACAAATTCGCACGACAATAATTCCAAGAGTATGAAGTTTTTCCTAAAGGTTTTACAGCCTCTCAAGGATAAATACAGACGTCTCCGTACCAATCCGCGAGACTCTACTAAACCTGCTCATGACTCGTAAGACCTATGTAACCTAGGCTCTGATACCAACTTGTCACGAGCCTAAACTCGAACCCCGTCGTGATGGCGCCTCTCTTGAAGACAAGGTCAGCCGACACATTCCCAATTTTTTTTAAGCAGTTAAGATAATGCCAGTAAGTCTAAAGCATAATAAATATCCCAAATAGATAAGGTGAAATAGTACAGTTGCGGAAAATAAAACCAACACAACCCGATATCGGGGTGACATCTATCAATATATTACAAGTCTGAAGCGTCTACAAATCTATTACAGAATCATTAACAAGAGAAAGGAAATGAGATAAAGGGGAGAAGCATGGGGCTGTGGACGCCAAGCAGCTACCTCGTGAACTCCGAAATCTGTCGAGAGCTCTCAACCCTCACAAGCAGGATCAACAGCGCCTGAATCTGCACACGGGGTGCAGGGAGTAAAGTGAGTATTCCAACTAAGTGAATAATAATCATAAATAAAGACTGAGAAATATGAAATCACGTAAGGCACATTACAGATTATAATGAAGCAGTAAAAACCGTGAATCAATGAAGATATATAAAGTCATTTTAGTTCAGTTTAAACTTCATGAAATGCTTTTTTAATTAAGCAGGTAAATGACAGGCAACTAGGAAAGATAAACACATAAAGGATCGCCCCTCGGGCACAATGTCAACAAAATCCGCCCCTCGGGCAGTATCATAGAACAACACCAGCTCCTCGGGCAATATCTCACATTACAATGGGTACTCGCGCTCACTAGGGGTGTGCAGACTCCTGGAGGGGCCCTTTACGGCCCAAGCACAATATCAAGCCATCTCATGGCGTACAACACAGGCCCTCGCCTCATAATCATAAATCAGTGTATCCTCACAGCACAGGCCCTCGGCCTTACTCAGTCAGAATCTCATAAGCCCCTCGGACAACAGTAAAACATGATGTTCAGCCCAAATTATCATTTAGAATCTCATTTAATGTGTTAAAACAAAGTAAACATGGCTGAGTTATGAAAACAATAGAATATAGCATGACTGAGTACAAGTATAAAGTCAAAACAGTGAGGAAATGTCAGTAAAAATCCCCTAAGGGTACAAATAGTTAGCACGAGGCCCAAATATGGCATTCAGCCCAAAACATGATGATAGCAAATAGTTTTCAATCAAATACGCGGTAAAACAGTCATTCGGGATGGAGTAAGTCACAATCCTCAACAGTGCATGACCTCACGCTCGTCATCTAGCGTGTGCGTCACCTCAATATAGCACAACGATGTGCGATCCGGGGTTTCAAACCCTCAGGACAACATTTACAATCATTACTCACCTCAATTCGGTCCGAAATCTAGCCCGTGACGTCTTTGCCCCTCGAATCGGCCTCAACTCGTGTTGAATCTATCCAAAATTAGAAACACGACGTCAAAATATGCTAAGGGAACGAAGCTCAAGCGAATATAATCAATTTACAACATAAATTCCGAAATTACCAAAACCCGACCCCGGACCCACGTTTCGGAATTCGATAAAATTCACATCAATAGGTTTCTTATCTCCCCACGAGTTCATACATATCAAAAGTACCAAAATCCAACCACAAATGGTCCCTCAAATCCCCAAGTCTAGGTCTCCAATACCAAGCCCTAGTTTCCCCAAATTTTGATCCTTAAATTCCATTAATTATAGCTCTAATCCGTGAAATAATACCATAGGAACAAGTTTTAGGTCCAAAATCCTTACCTCAATGAAGTTCCCTTGAAATCCTTCTTCAAATCGCCCAAAAAGCTCCAAAAACCGACTTAAAATGGTGGAATAGCTCAAAAATCGCGAAGGAATGAATTTATATGTTTTGGCCCAGGCATTTCCTATCTGCGGCCCCATCTACCGCTTCTGTGGTACCACTTTTGAGGTCCAAGACGCCGCTTCTGCGGTTTTCACTTATTCCCCAGCTTTTGCATCTGCAATGCACCTTCCGCACCTGCGCCATCGCAGGTGCGGCTCCTCAGCCGCTTCCGCAGCTCCAGCCTTTCTAGCCCCTTTTCCGCTTCTGCTACTCCTAAATCGCTTCTGCGAGACCGTACATGTGGTCCCCTAGCCGCAGGTGCGGTTATGACAGCAAATTCCACACTTCAGCTGCCAAACCAAATTTCCAAACTCTCCGTCAACCATCCGAAATCACCCCAAGGCCCCCTGGACCTCAACCAAAAGAACAAACATATCCCATAACCTTATTCAAATTCGTACCAATCTTTAAAATACCTCAAACAACATCGAATCAACCAAAACATATCGGATTCAAGCCTAAGTTTCCAAAATCTTCCGAATTACGCTTTTGATCAAAAAGTATACCAAACCACGTTCGAATGACCTGAAATTTTGCACACATATCCAAAATGACCCAACGAAACTACTGCAACTCCCGGAATTCCATTCCGACCCCTATATCAAAATCTCACCTACCAACCGGAAAATGCCAAAAATTCAATTTCGCCAATTCAAGCCTCAATCTACTCCAGACCTCCAAAACACATTCCGATCACGCTCTTATGTCTCAAATCACCTCCCGAAACTATCAGAACCATCGGAACTCACATCCGAGCCCTCTAACTCATAAGTCAACATCCGGTTGACTTTTCTATCTTAAGCTTACTCAAAAGAGACTAAGTGTTTCAAACCTTACCAAATCATTTCCGAACCCGTGCCAACCAACTCAATCACACATTGAACCGATAAACAAAGCAATAAAAAGCATAAATAAGGAAAACGGAGCGATAATTATGAGACGACTGGTCGGGTCGTCACAAGGAGATCATTAATGACACCCATGAGTGTACTTGGAAAAGAACTCAATTTGAGATAAAGTTCATACAAACAAATATTATTTATTAACATGAATCAAATAAAATCACCATGAGCAGCTAAATGATAATATAAAAATAACTTAGCTTGGTAAGACATGTTACACTGAGTCCAAAAAAAATTATTCAAGTCTAGCGTATTATCAACTAAGTTGATTGCTTGTCACTTTAATTAAACTTTTGTTGAATTGAGGTAAAGTATTTTTATGTTACTTGTTTTACCAAGGAAGCCTTAAGCAATCATAATAACTTATTTGGAAAATTCTGCGAGACAAGATTTCTTTTTTAATTGAATTAGTTAAATGAGATTAACATTCATTATTTTTAAAAATTTGAATTATTTTTTAATTTTTATTTTATAACTCAAATACATTACTATTTTAATAATATTCATATAATTTTTAAAATATATTTATTGATATGTGATACATACATAAAACGCGTGTTTTATGACTAATAGCTATAAAAATACATTATTAAAAATATATTAAAAATTTTGAAACACAATTTTTTTTATATATAAAAATATATCATTCTTCTAGGAACATTCTAAAATAGAAACAACACAACACAAATACAACCTAACACGGATTAGATAGAAGCGACTGACTCAATCTTTTTTAATCCAATAAAGTTGGAACGATACAAAAAAAAAATATAGATTGCATATACAGAATTACAGATTATAAGTCGCATTGTTTCTCTCTTTGATAATAAAAACCGTTTTCTGTATCCAATTTGGTCACCACCAATTTATTACTTTCTAGCTTCACCCAAATCTTTTCAGCAAATCATGGATGATCTCTCTATACACAAGATTCAAATCTCCGGCACTACTTTAGCCTCTATCCTCCACCGTCTTTTCTCATCCTCCGGCGACATCCACGGTCTATTATTCGGCCACATGTCATTCTCCACCACCACTCCTCTTTCCGACGACCCCGCCACTACCTCCGCCGCCGTAACCATCGCCTCCGACGACGGCCCAATTCTTACCGCCACTATCACCGATTTTCTCTCTATCCCTTCCCACTTTCCCCTCCCTTTACACCAGCTGGATGATCCTTCCGCCGCCGTTCTTGGTTGGTTTTCCGGTCGCCGAAAAACCCCTTTAAGACCCTCTTTAAAGGATTCTACAACTACCCTTTCTTTAACTTCCTCTGCTTCTCACTCTTTTACCCCTCAAAATGCTCCGTATTTACTTTCTCTGCCCCCCTCTTTGTTCCTTCTGTTAACGACGCCGTTTCATGAACAACTGATACATACCCACGAGTACAAAGCTTTTCAGTACCGTATTTCCACTGATTCATTCGACTCCAAAAGTTTAGATATTATCAACATTGGTCCATCATTTCGATCCCATTATGGTTCTTTTAGTCCTATTTCACCATTTCCTTTAATATCATGTGACTTAAGGGGTCCAAATGCAATGGCTGAGGATGAAAAGTTGGAATCTTTGGTGAGTATTAAAAGGGGTTTGAAGGATCAGAAGGAGTTGGATTTGTGTGCTGAAGGATTTGAGATTGGGAGATTGAACAAGTTGATGGGCTCTGATGCTTCAAATTATACTGCTGAATTGGAGCATTTGTATGATAAAATGCTTGTTAAGCTTGATAGTTTGGCTAGATTGGTGGAAACCAGTTCCGCTAAGGTTCTTGAGCAGGTATGCATGAATAAAGATAGACTTTACTTTTGGATTTTGGGTTCTGTATGGATTTTTTGGACACAAAATAGTTTGAGATTGAGGCGTAGATAAGTTGTAGTATGATCGTCTGCAGTATTTCCTTTTCAGTCTTCTCCAGAAAAATGACACATTTCTATAGTTAGAAACAATAACTTTTGACTTCCTATTTTACCTTTAATGAGATGATTTCTAGTCACATAAATATATATGGCTCAATGAGATCACAAATTATAAAAGTTTGGATTTCTTTCCTAAATTCCCCTCAGTCAAACACATCTGATAAATTGGAAAGGAAGAAGTAACATTTGGATCTAGCTTGGAATTGAAGCGTAGTTGTCTTTGTTTTTTTTTTTTTACCAACAACACAACAACAATGATTTTTTTTGTGTGTGTGGATATTGATGATTGAGCTTTATATTTACAATGATTTGAAACGATGGCAGGAAAACCACAATATGAAGTTGAGGTACAAAGTTGCTGGCTTGGAATGAATTCTGATGATTCAGGTGGCATTTCTCCTTTTGTAAGGTAAAAATTCGTCCTTTTCTGCAGATATATGGTTTTTCCAGGTAATAACTGTTTGCCGTGTTAGTAAGTTGTGCAGTAATGTTATTTACTAAAATATTGGTTATCCCGCACAGACACTGGACTATTATGAAATTTTGTTTTCATTGTGCTTCCTTCTTAAACAATCGATCAAATTATGAAGACCTTAGTGGATAGAAAATATTTATCCGAACTCATCTAACTGCATGTGTGATATAGACAACCATTTTGTGTGATTAGAAATCATTCTAACAAACAGAGACAACATTCAGGTGTGAAATTTTAAAAGTGGTTTATTCTGATTGCATGTGATGTATTTTTAATATATTTGCAGTAACTGAATTGATTGTAGCTAAAATGAATGTGTCACCTTGGATTATTTATTCTTCTTAGAGAGGCATTGGATGTGAAGCAGAAAACCTTAGCAGATCGAGACAACAATTGAATGTGATATCCTTAAAAGTGGTCATTGTAATCAGATTAGGTCATTTTTATGGACTGAGATATTTCAAAAGAGCAACTAAGAATGTATATGTACTGTAATTATGTCTCTGAACTTTTTGTCTATTTAGGTTCTCAATTCGTAATAACTTGTACGTGTCAGACTTAGTACGAAGAGGAAATCAGTTGTCTGAGCCTCTCGCCTCTCATTTCCCTTATCAACTCCACTGAGCTAAGATGAAGGTAGAGTGCTGTGTTCCTAGCTCAGTGAAGTTGATAAAGAAAATGAGAGGCTCAGTAGAGAGTACACATCAGCTGTCCCCTTCCTTCTCTAGTCACTGCATTCTTGAATTTCATTTCTTCCAAGGCTTATCAAAGACTCCCTTATAACCTGTAGTAGAAAAAGGTTTCTTATGGACTCATCATAGTGGATGTATCTGATTAGTCACATTACATATACCAGTGAAAGAAGGGCAATTTTGCTTGATGCATGCACATTGAGCAATGTATAAGTAATAGCCTACCCAACAACTCGTCCAATCATCTTTGCATGTAACAGCTGGCAAACTATATAGGTAGACCAGATTAGAGAGTCGGATGCTTTGCACATAACTCACTGCATTCTCTCCTCTCTAAGGAAATGGACACATCTCTAACTATGTTTTCCAAGCTTTTTTGTGGTAGTGGTACTTTCATAATTGCATGCTATGCAGTGATTGCTGTCTTATTATTCCTATAGGCATTTCCTCATTTTCCTTCTTGCCTCTGGTCATTGCCTAAGTTGCCTATTTGATGCCCCCATTAAGGCATTAACTTCGATATGCCTAAGAGAAACTCTGGAGCATAGTTCCTTATACTCTTTTAGGTTAGGAGGTGTTGCAGGCTGATGTTAAATATGTGCGTCTTTGAGCTAGTAGCTCAACTAGGAACAGATGATGACATTACTATATATTCCAAGAAACTCCGTAAATTTGCCAATGATGGCACCAATAAGGCAGATATGCACATAAATTTCTTCGCATCTGCTAAAGCCTTGGCGGGCAAAGTTAGGCGGGCAAAGTTATTCGATACCTGTGGTGGTTGGAGGTAGAGGGTAGCCGGTGGAAGGCACCACTGTTATTAAACAAAAAAAGAAAAGAAAAGAATTGAAGCACCAATCAACCAAATCGAAGTCTCAGGGACATAACATGAGGCGGAAACAATCATGCATAGTGGAATATCAGGGCATTGATCTTGCATTCTGTAAAATTCAATGGTTTGCCATTTCTTCTTTTAGGGGAATGAATGTTGTAACATTTCTGTAGTTGCACTTGTGAAGTCCTTATTTTCTTGTACCCTGTTAGCTATGCACTTTGCATGAACCTACATATATTTATGTCAACTGAATGATGAAAAGCACAATATTATCTTTTTTGATCCGTGGAAAGCACAACATTTTTCTTCCTTTGATAGCTGCTTGGAGAGAAGTAGGAGAGAGCCGTGTTTATCTTTTATCTGAGATACTCAATTTTTGTCTTACTCAGTAGATCACTGGGTGGCGAGGACAACTGCTGGTGAAGCCTTGCAGCTTGATGTGTAAGATTAAATGATAGAATTGTTGCTTACTGCAGATGTGCATTTTCGTTGAACCGATTTGAATATGTCCTCTTCGTTCTGCCATTCCTGAATGTATACTAGCTATGTATGTCTAACCTTGGGTTTTTACCAAGAAAAAGACTGCCTTTCTTGTTCATATTCTCTAGCTAGTTAAAAAATTCGTTTGCTTTGGATTGAATCTCCGAGACGTGTGGCTTGGACTTTTTCTTCTATATACACTTGTATTGTGAAGAACTTTGTTTTTGTCCTTTTTGGCGCAAAGAGCAATTGGCGTTAGGGTAAGTATTGGATGCGGGAAAGTTTTTATCCAGAATTGGGATGTCACTGAGGGAGGACTTCAAAATTAAGTAATTTCATGCACAGTCCCACCTCCGTCCTGGTCCGCTGCCATTCCTAATATTTCGACTTGGCAAATTTTAGAAGGATTACTAGAGTTAGAGGACTAGGATTTTTGCGACATTAGTTTTCTATCCGATTAATTTTGTTTGGACATAGTGATATCAAATATTGATATCACAAGGTAGGGGTAAGGTATGCGCACACACTACCCTCTCCAGACCCCACAGTTATGTTATTGTTGTTGCAGTGATATCAAATATTGAATTGTTAGCTTCTTCACTAAGGATTGCATGATTTTACTCTAATAAAGATTATGCGAAGTAGAAAAGAGTAAGAGGCGTGGAAATGCACTCACGATTAAATTACTTCCATGTAATGGTGGCAAAATGATTAAAAGAAAATGGTTAACTACCCATATTATCTACTAAAAAATGGGTTGGATAATAAATTTTCTAAAAACGGGTCATTATAGATAGGAACCATATTATTCATTTAGAAAATGGATAATCAATGAGTCTAACTTTTACATTTGTAAAATCTCAAATTGAGGGTTCTTTAAGTTTGGGAGACTAAGAATTCTCACAAAAGTGATCATATGCAAGAAGTCATAGATAATATGGTTACTCATATTATCTGTCGGATAATCCTTTTTTATTCGTATTAAATATGGATCGAGTCGGATAATTTATCCGTTTTTTTCATTATCCGGTTTTGATCCAAACCATATCCCACCCGACCCGTTCGTTTGGCACTCCTATTTCTAGGAGTGTACATAGATCGGGTTGGTTCGGATTTTACAATTACCAAATCAAACCAATTGTGTCAGGTTATTAAATATAAAAACCAAACCAAACCAATAAAACTCGAATTTTTCACTCTCGATTTTTCTCGGGTTTTCATGTTATTCGGGTTTTTTTCGGTAAAATCTTCGTAGAACAAAACATATAAATTGTGCTCAAAATATTTCTTTAGTCCTAGTAAGATGCAACTATATAAAGTATTTTTCAAGAAAATAATACAAAATATGAGATATGTCATGACATTATCCTAAAATATTCAACAATAAAGACAATAAAATTATGTAATATAAATATTGCTAATTAAAAAGCCATAATAAAAATAAACATAACCTAAAAGTACTAAGTCATGCTAAAATAAATAGACTAATAAGAGAGTATTAATTACATGATTAAACGCTAAAGAAAAAATAAAAATAGGTTATGCATTTTTATCTGAATTATTGCAAAACAAAAAATTGATATTCAATACATTTTCGTTCGTAGTATTGAATTGAATGTCTTTTATTAGCATTAGTATTGATTTGATTTTGGTTTGGGCTTTTGTTAGCACTATTTAATTTACTAATGTTAATGGCTATAAAACTGTAAAAATTGCACGGGGTGCCCTATTTGGCCGCCCCCATTTAACCTATACCCATTTTTAAAAAACTTTTTAACTTGTACCCACTTTTTAAATGACTTCAGCCCCCTTTCTCCTCCTTCTCCTCCTCAAAGTTATATCGGTCTCTTCTTTCTCAAACTTCTCCTTCCCCCTTTCATATGTACCATTTGTCATTTGTGGACCTCTTCTATGTTATTATTTCTCTGTTATTATTATTTCGTAGCTTTTTTTATTTTTTCTGTCTAACGTAACAATGACAACACAAAGTTGCATCTACATTCTCGAATCGAAGCAGTGGGTTTTTGAACTTTTGAAGCTTCATATCGAAAGTCCGTAAATAGGGAAGAGGCTTCCATGTCTAAGTTCTCAGAATGCTGGATATGAATCTGCTAAGTGATTTTCCTTTTAAAGTAAAAGCAAATTTCCCCATGAGAAGAGGTGTTCCATTTCTTGTGCTTTACAAATTGCTTTGACTTCTATCTAATGATGTGATGCAGAGGAACCCCAAACAAGTATTTTATTTGTTGGATATGCCTACTCGATACTACTGTGCACTCCTGAAAATCAACATGCACAATGAACAAATTAAGAAACTGACACAAAAGGTACACCTTATTTCGCAGAACTATCGCAGAACTAAAGAGAGTTACAGTCATGCTCTAGGCCGGTTACAAAAATAAAAACTTCAGCTTTAGAGGTGAAGTTTGTCAGTTACAAACAAAACTTCAATTGTTCGCCAGTTAAAAAATAAAAATTTCAGCTCTAGAGCTGAAGTTCGCCAGTTACAAACAAAACTTCAATTGTTCGCCAGTTAAAAAATAAAAATTTCAGCTCTAGAGCTGAAGTTCGCCAGTTACAAACAAAAATTTTAGCTCTAGAGCTGAAGTTCGCCAGTTACAAAACAAAATCTTCAGCTCTAGAGCTGAAGTTCGCCAGTTACAAAACAAAATCTTCAGCTCTAGAGCTGAACTTCAGGGCCGGCTACTAGAATGCTGAAGTTTTGCATGATTGTCTTTGCTACTTCAGCCCCGTATGCTGAAGTTATGCGAAAAAGCGGGTACGCTTGCAATTGTTTTTGCAAAACGGGCATAAGTTAAAATGTGACACAAAAAACGGGTATAGATGTAAATGCCCCTATAAAACTTATTGGAACATTCAAAAGTTCTAAGTCCAACCTTGAAATAATACGTCAAAAGATAAAATTATGAAATCTTTTAAAAAATATTTATAAATTACATCACAATAATTATATTTATATATTAAATATATCTAAAATTTCTATATATGTAATGTCGGGTTGGTTTAGTTTCAGTTTGACTTTCTTTAGTTCAAATCAAACCAAATCAATTATGGTCGATTTTTTTTTCTAACACCAAACCAAACCATAGTCGGGTTTTTTTTCTCGATTTGACTCGAATTATTGAGTTGGTGCGGTTTGTTGGTTTCCTCAGTACACCCCTATACTTCCATGGTCTTCCATTTTTTATTACATTCTCTGTTATAATTATCGTTGTTTTATTGACCTTTTAGCATCACACCATCAGAGATGAACCCAAAACATAGAGTGAGTTCACTTCAATGGATTGAATCTACTTTTGCGCACCATTTTAAGAAACTACTTCCTTGTTCAATTAACATACTTTCCTTATTATTCAATTTAAAAAATTAATATCAAGTCTTTTTTTGGAATAATACATAATTACCCCTTGGAGTTGTCTCACTTTACCATCTGTACCCTCATGCTTTGCGGAGGTATGACCCCCTTAGCTCTTTTTGAAATATAATAAATACCATCTTTTATGGCTAACACCAGTTTCAGCAATCATATTTTGACACGTGTTTTATACTACATAATTTCTTTTTTATTAATTATGGATTGCTTTTTCTTTTTCTTTTTTCCTTTTCTTCATCTCCCAAACACCC